TGACTTGGTTTTGTTGTGCTGTATAGCTAAGACAAGTGCATAAATTAGCACGTAGTCACAAATACCCATGTATTAGACACAACTTAATGAAGCACCGAGAAATAGATTTACTTTCCAAGCTTCAAAATTTGTTACACATTGTAATGGAGTTAGAGCTAGATAAGAAATAGTTGGCCTAGATTCTTCTATGATTTCTAAAATTTTCTTGCTTTAAAAATAAATAAAAAAGAGAAAACAAGCTCTTTTAACAGATTTGCCAGTAGATAAGTATGAATAGTCCAAGGTATGGTAAACTTGAAAACTGGTATTAGCCCTTATATAGATATAAAATTCAGTATTATATACCCACATCGAGTATAATACAATATACTCATATAGAACACATTTTCTGGGTCCAAATTAATATTTATATATTTTTTTAATCAAAACAAAATAGTAATAGATTTGTTGCTTTATTGTCAGGCTATATGAGTAAGATTCTAGCTACCTGATTTATTTTCATTAAAACTGGAATATTTTACCAAAAAAAAAGAATGTTTTAGAAAATTAGGACAATAATGAAAATATTTTGTCACCATTTTTTCCACTATTTCTATTAAATAAAACATCAGTTAAAAGATCTAGAAAAGAACATGTTGTGATGATGGGTCAAGGACAAGGTAAGCATAAAAGTGCCAGTGATCTGTATACATTCTGTCCACATTTTCTGACCAAGCAAAGATACAGGTCAGGTATAGATCATCCTCACAGTGCTTAGGAAGAGTTCTATTTGGAGCTGATGCTTATGCACAAGTCTGTAACGTATTTTTTACTGGTGGTCTATCCATTTAAACATGAAAGCACATAAACAGGCTGAACATGAGAAAAGGCTCAGATCTTTAATTTGCAAAGTAGATGTACCTGCTGTGGGGCATGTCTGCAAACAAGTGAGTATGGGGGGAAAAAGTAAGCAGCTTGCTTGCTGCAAGAATGACATTGCTTGTTACAAAAAGAGTCCAGTTTAAATTTATGCCTTTGCCAGCCAGTGGAGAAGAGAAAAAGGCTTGTATGTGAGTCATGCGCTATACGTCCCTGAGCACCTCCTAGGGCAGTGCACATCATATAGCAGCATGCTTCACTTGTGTCTGTATGCTGAAAGACACAGCCAGCCCTGTGGTCACAAATGGAATCTTTTGTAAGATTAAAAGTTTATGACTGTTACTAAAAAGGTGGCAGGTTGGAGGCCTGAAGCACCAAATGAATATGGTGCAGGCAGTTCAATTTTTGCTTCATTTAATATGGTTCAGTTCTGACTATACTGGCAATCTTTTTGACCTTGACTTGCTGCAAAAAGTAAACACTCATTTTCAGTTGAAGGTATAGTTGAAGGCAAATACATTGTTAAAAATGTTTATTTTATTTTAGTTAGATTTTTATTTTTCTAACACAAAATGTTAACATTTTGTCCCACTATAATCCAATGGGACTGCTCACATGAACGAATTTATTTGGACATAGCTATTTTCACAGTACTGAGTCTTGTGAAATCAACTGAATATCTGAATTGAAAGTCATCGTGAGACTCTTTGATGTTATGGATTGATTCTATTCTGCTTCTTCTGTGAAGACCGAATGAAAGCAGAACTTTCAAACTTATGTGTCTTTTTTGATGGTAGCTGTGGAAATTCAAAATGTAACTGGTTCTTCAGGAATTATCAGGAATTAATGAAAGTTTCTGATGGCATAACTATTATTGGGAGCGGAGCAATTTGCTGTAGTGTTGGTGGAGAAAATAACAACAGCTCTTTACGTTTCTCCAGTGTTGATAATGTATTTGCACCAATTTCACGTGAACTTTTTTCCTCTTTGTCATGGTTTTATTTTTTCCACTGTTGTATCACACAACAATTATCTTCTATACCTTTTTGAAATATACAGCAGATTCAAAGCCAGGCAATAATCTGGCATCAGTCAGGAATAACAAAGGATCATCTTACAGTTGCCAAATGTGTTGATGATCTCAGTCCAACAAGAGATAGAAATCACTCCCTTTTCACAAAATACCTCAGTTTTGACAGATTTTGTGTATCATCTCAGAAGAAAGTTTGAAGAGTAAAATGGAATGAAGGTTGTTTCATGTGCTGATTTCTGTTTCTCAGAATTAGGTTTGTGAGAAAAGGTTAGAAAAGGTAGAGGCTGGTGTGGCTCAAAATGTACCGTATCACATGGTACATACATGGTACATCAAACATGGTACATCATATGGTACCATATCATATAGTACCTACAATGTGCAGAGTATCAGTGCATTTGTACGTATAACAGGAATATAATCAATTATCTTTGCAGCTGTAATCAGTGTAACTGTACTAAACTGGAATATTTGAATTAGTAAATATATTGTGAAACTTCCAAGTATAGTTAACTTAAATTTTCAGCAAGCGTTAACTCATTTTGGAAAACCCCTATAGATAAATTCAAGCAATTAGGGTATTGTACAACATTCTCAACAGCTTTTAAGTAACAGAAGAAAACAAGAGAAAAAATGGAGCTTGATTACAAATAGCAGAAAAATATCTATCAGTGGTGATATTATTATTTTTTTCTAGAGGTTGATGACTTAAATTATAAAAATACAAGTCTGAAGGTGAAACCAAATTCCAAGATCACATATGATCAATGCATTTATTTCAAAATTATCTTTTCCTGCTAAGGAAGAAGGTTCCATTAGTTCTGCTGCGCATGATTATGTGTCTCAGAAGAATACGACTCAGTTTCAGAATTTCTTGCATCAAATCTTGATTTATGAATGAAAAAGTACAAAGTTAGACATACTTAATAATAATTTCGGGGTTGAGTACCACCAAAAAAGTGGGAGGGAGAGTGGAGCAAGCTTTCATTACTGCCTTGAACCCACTAGATGAATTTTTATGCTGTTACTAATTCTTACTATTCAGTTACTTCCTGTTCCACATAAGACAGGGTTGAGTAATGTGAGAATGAGAAAACAGTACTGCAGAATTTAAGTGGGAGAAGGAAAACATACACTTCTCAATAAAAATATAAATCCATTGTGTTTTGTAATTTCAAAGGTTCAGTTAAGTAACTGCGATAGTAATGCATGAATTTTTCCAATTCAGGCTTCCGAGCCAAAGCAGTTACTGGAGGAGATAGTAAGAATTCCCTTTCTAAGAGCCACGGGATTTCCTAGTTTTGTAAAGCTAAAGTTTTTGTCTGTCATTGTGCATTTAACAGAAAAGGAAGTGTTAGCCAAGTAAATGAGTGAAGATGGAACTAAGAAACACCTGTAAGTACTTTGGAGTTCCAAATCCACATCATTGCTATTCAGCATAAATTAAAATCCTCAGAGGTTAGTATTTACAATACATGATCCAGAGCCAAAGTAATCAACAGGAGAGTGTGGTACAAGCTAACAATTCATTACCTGTTACTTCTTTCCTACACTTAGTTCAGGAACAATCTGAGAATAATGAATGTAAATGAATATAAAATGTTTTCTTATGTGGTTGGAGTTCAAAGAGAAAATAGATCATAAATGACGGAATATAAACAGACACCTCAAAATCTTGTTGAGAATCTTAAGGGACTTCTATTTCATAGCTGCAATTGATGAAACCTGCAGAAGTTTTACCAGTGGTGTGCAAAAAGGCTTGGGTGCCATGAACATACATGAAAATTGAACATAAGCAACCTGAAGAATTCAAACCATTTTTGAGGATAGATTGTGTGGTAGTTTTTAGGTATCATCAGTTGTTTATGAATCACTTAGTTCCATGATACAGAGTCACTTTATCTTTAATTTTTTTTTTTTTTTCTCAATCTCATCTTCAATCTTCTTATAAATGACCTTTATCAAAAAAAATAGAGGACAAAAGTGGAATTATCTTATACAAGAGATGGTCCTCATCAAGGTTTTAGTGGAATTTGAGCTACTTAAGCCTTGTGCTGACATTGATTCATGGGGTAAATTTCATACTTGGTGTGTGATCTTTACAAACTGCGATCATTTTGCATTTACTTGACTAAGTATATGAGAAAACACTTCTATTGTGACTATATGAATAAGTGTACATTTTAATACCAGTAATTATGCACCCATGTGATTTTAAAGTTCTGTCCTCTTGAATATTGCTTCCAGTAAAACTTATAAAAGCATAAATCTTTGTAGAGGAAAAATCCAAGAAGAATTTGTGTGTTTCTCCACAAAACTTGACAGGGAATCAGAGTGGAATTCATGGTCCTTTCTTAGTAGCATTTGTTTATTACTTGCTTTGATTTCTTCCAACATTTAAAACACTTATATGCTGTTACAATTAGATACTTTTGTGGTTCTCAAGTCATATGATGTGTACATTCTGATGATCTATATATATAAAAAAAAAAAAGGAAACAGTAGTTTTCTGTGCTCAGAGAATACGTGTGACATCTGGGAGGCAGAGTTCAAAGGATTAAGGTGTGGAGAACCAAAGCTAGCATAAGGGAGACCTCATTGTTTTATTCATTTCTTTGTAATGCGACAGTACAAACCAGAAAAGTAAGCAAGCAATTTTTATTTAAGCAATAAGTAAGCAATTTTTATTTTTAAAGAAGATTAAATGTTGTTTTTACTATGGATTTGTCGCTGCTACCTACCTCACTGCTCATTTTATTTAATCTTTTTTACATTTGCTTTCCTGTGGAATCTAATCAATCTGAAGTTCATCTCAGGAGACAGATTCAAAAGCTTGAGTTTTATGTCCATTTTTGATGGTCTGAGTGGTAATCCAATTAGATTTCTGTTTATTCTTCAGGAATTTAAGCCTTATCAATATTACAACTGCTGAATAAATATCTTGAGTTATCTACCAGCTAGATTGACCATTTTAACTGTTATGTTTTATATACTTGTGTCTATATGATGGAGTTCAAATAGAACATTTCAGTTAATTCTGAACAATTCAGTTAATTTCAGACTGATTGAAACATATTTTCCTGAGCATGCTATGCTGTTATCTTTGCAGGGACCGCCTTTTTTGCTTGGCAAAGTAGACATCATTGCTTCCCTGGTTCCAAAGATGGAGTTCCTGCACTTCATAAAGAATCTATCAAGTTTGTGTTGCATATCTTCCGAAAAAAAAGTTCCTCAAGGACAAGAGCTCAACAGTAAGCTGTAATTAGAGATATAAATAAGTAATTTTTGTAGTATTTGACCTAATGGTACCCTTACTAATGTGATGTGTGAGTCAGATTTAATTTGATTGAGTTGATGGAGTTAAATAATGATCTCACCTTGAAAATGACCGAAGTTACTATACCACTCAGGGAGAAAAAGGATATAACTTGACTGGTAATCTAAACCCATGTCTTATACATTTATTTTCCTATGTCTCTTGTAATGAAGCACTGTATCACAAACAATAGTCTAACATCACTGAAAGGGTAATTAATTTATAGCTAGAAAACATAACAGAATTAATTTAAAACCACTATGTAAATTGCATTTTTTTGTTGTGGATATTCAGCATCACTGTAATAAAGACTTTTTTTTAAACAAAATAACATATTGCTTAGGCTTCATAATTAAAAATACAAATGGAAATTACTCCATTCAATATGTCGGCTTTAAGGACTATACATATCCGTGTAGATAGCTATCTGTTTTTCCAAATTAATCACTGATATAGAACTTCTCTGCAATGGCTACAAACCTAGCCCATTTGTCACAAAAGTGCTTGCCATTGCCTTTTTTTAACATGCTACAAAGATGAACAGCTACATGGTCTTAAATAGATCAAAGAAAACAGCATTTAATATGCTTTATGAAGATAGAAGGAAAACCATGGAAACGTATGTATGTACACGTGTATATATAGGTGAGAGGGAGAGTTGTTTTATTGGACAAGGGAACATTTTTCCATAGCAGAAAACTTCAGGTAGTATTTATGTATGTATAGAAACACTTCTTTCCAAAAGAACAATCTAGCACATCTTTACTATATTCATTTACTAATGATTCTTCATTGAACTGGCAGGGATTAGGGCTGATGATGCTTTGTCTGTGCACTGTCATGTGCATTTTACTCCTCACAGTAACTGTATTCATGCATTTTTTTACCCCTATTTGTTGAAATTTTGCTCCTGAATAATAACTAAATTTCTTTTTTGAAATACAATTCATGGCTAATCCTGGAGATTTAATCTTGGTTAAAAAAAAACAAAAACACACCACCAACAAAACACAAAACAACAACAATAAAAACCCTTGATGGAATATCTTAAGAATACTTCTTGCCCTGGGATTACACAGTATTGGTTGCTGATGATGGTAAACGTACTGGTAGCTTAAGATCAAGACACAAGGAAGTAGGCATCACATAAATTTGAGAAAAAGTGGTACTTAATCAGCTAGTTATCATTAGCAACACAAGCTACTTCCCTTTCATGTATTCTCTGAACTACTACGTGATTATGTACTTTGAAAGCAAAAAATCAGAAATTGTGGAAAGTGAAACTAATTCCCAGCATCTCTTAGAATTCCAATGAAACCCAACCTGTACTGCTACACACTCATCTCTTAGTGTAGTGGAATTACATGTGCCATTTTTGTTTGTTTCACAGAAGCTATAACTGCAAATCTGGTGCTTGGTCCATGCTGGAAAAAAAGTAAGTGTTGCAAAAAAAAATTACATACATAGTAAGCACTCTTCAGCCTATTTTTTAGGTCATGTCATTGAAAATAAATATCTGCTTTCTTCTAAAAATTAAAATATACACGAACAGAGAGCTTAAGAGAATAGGTAGGGTGTTGCAAACTCAAGAAACTTGCTCCCCACAGGAATACTCTCTGTTGGATTTCCCTCAACAGACTTCATACTGTCTTAATACAGACACAAAAATGAAGGTACCATTTGGCTAAAGTGAGGTTTGAATTCAACGAAGCATTTGCTACGTGAGTCATAAATGATGAGCTGTATTTACACAATCTGCAATTAGTTCCAAATTATTCATTAGGCAAGGTTAAGAGAGCAATGAAATGTTTAAATCACATACCATCTGCTTGTCTGCCAGATCTGATTCATTTGGTACACATGGGAGAACTGGGATTTAGACCACCAGTCTTCCACCAGTCTTCACTTTCTCTTTCCACACTGGGAGAGAGAAAATAAGGCTCCTTGTATTTGTAAAACAGCGTTAAACAGTTTGTCCATTTCAGCCTGAATGGAAACCAAAGAAAGTCATTTTGAAATGTAGCCAGACGGCTCCTGCTGATATACTTCAGAGGTGAATGGATGTTTGAACAGTGCAATGGTCTGAGAAAACCTTTGTGGCTTGCACTGCAGCCCGCTTACTCTGTGCCCCGGATGGTTTCTTTATGTCATGTGTTGTGTGTTCCTGACCATTATCCTTTGGCTGGTTTATGCTATTATTGAATTTATGCTATTATGAACTACCCTGTATAGGGCGCATTACAAACATATAAAATTGCTTCATCTACGATCCTTGAAAGCCAATACCTAGAGGTTGTGAAGAGGCTGAAGTATTTCCCTGGATTTGTCCTTTCATTTAGGCTTTAAAGACCTTTGTAGCTCTGTTTGCTCTTTATTTCACAGAAACTTTTCAGTGTGTTCAGATGTTAGTAGCTTGCTTTTACTGTGCAGTGTTGATCATGGCATGGATGAACATAGCCATCATTTGAACCTGGGTAACCCTCTGAAGTCTTTGTAGGTGTAGAGATATGAAGAAAATTTTTACTGGGTGTCTACAACATTTTGGGGGATCAACGGAATCCTACAAATCTGGTAGCTGGAGATAGGAAGGTTATAATTTAAGGAGAATATTTAATCTGATTTTGCTATGTCCTCGCAGTCCTAAACTAACATTGGGTTAGAGTCCAAATCCTAATCGTGTTCCCATAGTACATTATGCTTCTTGCGTAACCTCAGAAAGCCACTATAAGTTAAGGTTCAGTGGGTTATTTTAACCTCCGAGGAATGTGAAGACAACTACTTACAGATTCTTGAAGTGATAACGAATTACAGCAGTGGTTGCCATATAAATAATTGAGTTGCCCTACAAACATAGTACCATCAAAGTCTTTCAATGCCTACAGTTCTTGAGTTCAAAGTGACTAGCTTTTCATTCTCAATGGAAAAATTATTAAACTTCATTATCTCAAGTCTCCTATTGTAGGTGCTTGCCTTGCCAGCATACTGTGAGAGGTAATGAGTACTTTTGTATTTTGTGTACAAAAAGTAAATGCTCACTTACTAAGTTTGTATGTTTGCCCTAACTGCATTTCAGCTGCAAAAAGTGGCTTCATCAAGCAAACAGTGCAAATTGAGTAGGAAGAAAGTGGGTAAGAGAAATAAAGAGGAGGGTATATCTGTATATCACAAGGACACTGCTGAAAGTCTACCATGAATACAAAGAACTTCAGTTTCAATAACATCCTAAAGCAAACTTCCAGATGAATTAACTACAATAAACAGATACCAGTATGATACATTACTGCATTTTTAAAACTTAGTTCTTAAAGAAGCCTTTATGATGAAAAGCTAATCTGATCCTGAAAAACGCCTCAAGTAACTGTTTCCCTTAAGGACTGTTTTGTTAGTCTGGTGTCCTGTCTAGAACCTGAGGCCACTTAATAAAACCACTTTAATTCCTAGATATTACATTATTCCAAACCTGATGAATTTATATGTTGCTCTGACAAATATCTGGATAGACTTTTATTTATTTATTTACTTGTATGAAAGCACAGTATTCTAGGTAATCAGAAAAATAGTGAAGCAGGATTTCTATAGTAATCATGTTACAAAATACTTTTCCTTTTAAAACATGGTCTGTTTTGGTCTGAGTTTTGCTTTTGTGATTTGCTACAAATCCTTCTTCTAACAATGGAAATTTAGGTGATGCGAGGACTTCAGAACTGGAACTTAATTCTTATAGCAGCTTTGTAAAATGTAAAATCAGAACAAGAGTGCAGATAATAATTTCCTCAATCCTTCTGTCATTACACGCAGAAGTTAAAATCTCTCTTTCAAACCCATTTCTGTCTGTAATATGTTGCCTCATTTTATAAAGGTCTCATCTGTTAAAAAGTAAAACAAGTAAGCAAAATGTGGCCTAAGAATGATGTTTGAAATGAATGTTTGTCTAGTTTTCCTCTGAAGGAGAGCTGCTAATAAGGACAATACTAGACTAGACATACTCTTTTTTCTTTTTCTTTTTCTTTTCTTTTTCTTTTTCTTTTTCTTTTTTTCTTTTTCTTTTTCTTTTCTTTTTCTTTTTCTTTTTCTTTTCTTTTCTTTTTCTTTTTCTTTTTCTTTTTCTTTTTCTTTTTCTTTTTCTTTTTCTTTTTCTTTTTCTTTTTCTTTTTCTTTTTCTTTTTCTTTTTCTTTTTCTTTTTCTTTTTCTTTTTCTTTTTCTTTTTCTTTTTCTTTTTCTTTTTCTTGAAAAATAGCAAAACTATTTTAAAACTTTTTTTTTCTTACTTTATGACATTTTCCATAGTTTCTGCTATGGAAAATCCCCCTCAGAATGGTATAAAATGGACAGACTTTCTCTTCAGAAAAGCTTTTAAATGATCTTTTCTCTTATCCCCAACTCAAATATCCAACACATGAACAACAAGCTGCAACATACAGCTTCCTTACACAGCAGATTGCAATTTCATGTGAAGTATCCAACATGCAGAATAAGGGTTTGATGCTATGCTAAGCTATTTTATTTAATCTAACTCTTCTCTCTGTACTATGTTGTGTCTAACCCGTGTTCTTTTAAATGAGCATTTTACTTTGCAATTGTGAATGGGGGTTATGAAGCAAAGAATTCCAGAGATACCAGTGTTCATATTGCTGCAACAATTATCCTTGGATGAGTTGGTTTCAAGTAACGTGTGATTTTTGTAGCTCTAGCTAAGTTATAATGTTGCCTTGTGATTGTGCTTGTGTTGATTATAATTGGATTGCCAATTGCTGCCAGGTTGTACTAAGTGCATCACTAAAAAACAAATTTCTGCTAATTTATTCTCGTACTTGGCTCAGGCTCAAAATTTCTGATGATTTCTTCTTCTTGCAGTCACATTTGGCCCAAACAGGTTTTCAAATGTAATGCATACAGAGTCGTCCATAATGAATTCCTTCCTCCCCCTAGAATTTCAGAATACACCACCTCTGGAAAAACTATTCTCTCTCTTTTTTGCATCAGGTTCTTTTCCACACTCAAACTATATTTTCATTTCATATGTTCTTGACCACAGTCAGGATTTATTTCTGGGCTATCTTGATCTATACTTTCTTTTAAAAGATTTACCACATCATAGCTCTGCTTCTCTCGCTGCTTGTTACTCATCAGTAAATGCTGTAGGGTCGTGTCACATTTCCTCCAAGACTTTCTCTAATACTGCATCTTGTTCTTTTAAAACTGAACAAGAAATACTCTCCCAGAGAATGTGGTTTTTTTTGGTCCTTATTTTACTCTCAGGTCGTATCTAGGAGCATACATCATTTTATGATCTCTGTGGTTAGAATGTAGCTGTGAATTAGATAGTCTTATAAATAGAAAGTGAACTAGAAGAGGATAACATAGCCCCAAGCTAGAAGAGGAAAACAAAACACCAAAGCAATGAAGTATCACTGTGGATACAATGTGGTACTGGAACTGAAAAACATCTACGTCAATGTACAAAACACTGCATATTAGAACTTGTAGGGACAATTAACATTTTTTATTAGATCAGGGGATGGCCAGAAAAGTACACAGAGGCATAAATTCTTATACAGGCATGTGCTTTTGAAAACTCCAATTATTTCATCCAGTAGCCCCTCACCATTACGTCTGGACTTAAATCTTGACTACCATACAAATGCTGTGGCAGGCAGCACTACAACAGAATACTGTTGGTATGTGAGAAATTTCCACTAATATTTGGAATCATAAATGAATTTCAGTGAAGAGATTTGGAGGAAAAATCAAGAGCTATAATGCAGTTTCTCAGGAAAAGGCTTGCAGTTTTGACATATTTTCACTGTGGCATTTCAGTCTTTTGTTTTAGTTTGTACATCTGAATTTTTCTTGCTTGTGATATACTGCTTGGTGCAGTATAAGTAGATGTTTCAAGATATAATAAATCTCATGAGTATCCTTTGGATGAGAATGGACTTTATCAGTTGAAGGTTTCAACTCTCTTCATCTGCTTTTGTTAGCTACAAGTAGCTGCTTCCATAATATTTTTTTCATCAAGTTCCATTGAAAAGTCAAAGGAATGTAAAACAATATCTTATGACTTAGCCTATATGAGTTTACCATAAACACTTGGGAAAAAATTGAAAATTGACTTGGTGGTGGTGTTTGCTTGAATGCAATACTTGACTATTGTACTGCTCAGTTAAGCTACTTAAAAAATTAAAAGTAATCAAGTGATAGAGGGTAGTAACAACCCTGATAGTTGAGTAAAACAGTTGTTAAATGCTACCTGTGCTTGACATTACCTGTCAATTCAGTGCAAAAATAAAGCTATTAAAGAGGCCATAGGAATAAAACTTAGGAATTCCAGTGTTACCCATGTATCAAATGAGGCTTAAAAACCGTGGGTATGGGTAATATGAAATGAAGATTTACCATTAAAAAAGTGGCATGAATTATAGCATTATAAAAAG